TTTGGTGTCATTTAGAGCCGTTCTGAAAATATTCCGTTAGGTTATATCCAAGTAACGTCTTCCTATGGGCAAAGACTTGAAGGCACAAATTAAACTGTTCATAATTTGTTCTTTATGGTACGCCAGCATTCATAACATGTAGGCGAATCATTGTCCCCCAGACAGCCATGGTTATATTTTTTATATTTATATGTTTTAAAAACAAAGCGGCGCGTGTATGACGTCATCTGCGCGCACCAGGTACCATTCATTCATCCTGTCCGCTGAACTGCTGCTAGTTTTACTCACATGCCTGGAAGATGTCTAGTCATGGGTGGTTCTAGACAGGGGCCAACGGGGGCCAGTGCCCCTGTAGCTCATGTCCTGGCCCCTGTTATGGCTCCTGCACTGAAGACATAATACTTTGTTACTTTTTTTTTTCTTTACAAATTCTGTTTTACTAATAATTCAAAAACAATAAGGTGATAATAAGGCTTCCGTGGTATTGAGATAGGAGCCCAGATTTCATCTACTAAATGTTTTTTTTAATGCTTTGTTTAAAAAAAAACAAAAAAAACGGTAATTTGAACTTAACTTATGTAAAAAAAATATGTAAAATCCCGAAATCCTGAATGTATATTGACCTAATAAGAAATACAGTTTTAATTAAACCTAATTGAATGAAAATTTTACTTTATGCAGCTCTCTTAATTTATTTGAATCCCTTGCCCTGTTTTTTTATTTCACACTTTTCTGTGCCACCTTGAAAACAATGCTGGCCCCCTCCTGGCCCCCTGGTACATTTGATCTAGGACCGCCACTGTGTCTAGTGCTACTATCACAGATGATCCCGCTCTCGAAATGGAATTGAACGATTCAGATTAGCTCGCCGAATGAATAGAAGGGGTAGAGCGTAGCCGCCTGTGGCTCGGGCTTCCTGTCACAACTCCAGTCCGGAGCGCGGATGACATCATACACACTCCGCCTTGTTTTTAAAAGATATAAATATTTTTAAAAATATAACCGTGGATGTCTGGGGGACAGTGATTCACCTACATGTTATGAATGCTGGCGTACCATAAATGATAAATTATGAACAGTTTAGTTTGTGACTTCAAGTCGTTGCCCATAGGAAGACATTACTTGGATAATAACAGAATATCTTCAGAACAGCTCTAAATGACACAAAACTAATAAGGGTGAGTAGAACATGATGTAATAACGTAAAATCAAGGACCGAATGTAAAAAAAAATGTGTTCCCCTTTAAGACTTGGGTTGGACACTAACTTCACATCATCCATAGAGTTTTATTCGATAACACTAATAGGACTTTGTAACATATTTCTGGATATATCAGGATATGTTCCAATGATTTTTGTTCAAACTTCATTTATTTTTTTTTTCAGTTCACTCAATCAACCTGCGCTCTAACCAGGTGATCCTAACTAAACACAGGCCACTTACAGACACCAATGTTTCAAAAGGTGCAGATTAAAGCTGCTAAAAATGTTCCACTTTCACAATCATTCCAGTGGCTAAGCAGTTAAATTGTAAGAATGGATGATTTTTTCCATATAAAACATGTTTTGGTTCATTATTGTATTTTTTTTTTTATTCTTGGGGAGTAAAAAAACTTCAATCTCTGTCAACGTAGCTGCAGTAGACCGTTTCCTGCAGTAGAAAGACGGTTGCACTGTTTGTAAATTGGGCCGATCGAGCCTTTCAACCTAGCCAGAAATGTCCTGGATTTGAAAGAAATGTTTTCTCGTTATCTAGGGGTATTTTGGGGGCTAAAAACTGGGTTTATTTTCCTACCAGTTTCCTGGTGAGTGCTGGTTAGAGATGGGCTCCAGTTGTTCCCCGCATCACTACTCATTGAACTCTCTCTTTGTGGCCTTCACTCCTACACTAACTTGGCCAGATATTTCCCGGGGCCCCGATCTTACTATGTTGTCCCCTCCCTGACTGCAAATAGAAAACAGAGCAACATCCTGTGGCCTTCTAAGCTCAGTTTCAGTTACCACAGAACTCACCTTCTTTCTCGTGCATTTGGTGCTGTATACGTCATAGAACACGAGTGGTGCAGTGACCTTTTTCAACGTAGTTACCAGAGGTGGGCTACTTTTTTTTGTTTTTACTAATAAAGTTATTTGTTTTTTCTTTTTTACAATATCCAACTCGAAAATCTAATCAAATCTGGAATGTGACTGTTTATATTTGTATTTAATTTACCTCTTTCTACTAAAGAAAAAAAAAAGCGTCCAGGGCCAGAATAGAAGGAATGTTTCGTAGAGTGCCAGAACTAGTCACATTAACTCATTAGGTGTTAGACCCGTCTGCCTGAAATCCCCCTCAGGATGGTTGGGGGGTCTCCCTTATGAATGATCGGACCTCTAAACTGTGTCTTATTGTCCCTAGTGACATAATACATTGACACACAGCACATCCAGCATGTGATGTTTTCCTGCTTTCGCTCCCTGCTCCTTCCTTTCGGTGTTGATGTTCTAGTGAGCCTAGTTTTCATTTCCTCATTCCCTCATATAACAATGGGGACTGTAAGCTTGGTTTTAAATGAAAACAGGATTTAGATGCTACTTCTACTTGCTGATTGCAACAATGCAAGTATTTGCCATTATTAATTAAAGAATTAATGAGTGAAAGGGTAGTTTATTCCTAGGGAAAGTAGGCCTAAATCATAATTTCTACACTAAAAACAGCCACATGTGCTAGTTAGCACAAGAAATCATGAATATTAAAAGCATTTCCATTTAGTTTAACAGTTCTAAACAGAAAGCTCCCTCTTTATTACCCATCTTAATCACCAGTGGATGATAACAATTTCATTATACAATTCTTACCCCATTTACACTACCCTTAAAAACCGTGCCGAGAGCTGTCCGAGCTCAGTAACTGAGATAACTTATCGTGTGTAAATGGAAAGCAAACTGAACTGAACTGACATAGACACAACCGTACCGAGCTAACTCCAGACCAGTTTTTCCCGGACTCGGTTCTCTGATAACAAGAGCGCGTGAGATGGAGATGACGCGTTCTGCATGAGCATGTCATCTCCGTCTGGCTGCACATCCCGATTCACACTCCATTCCAGTAGTTGGCGGTAATGCCCCTCCGGAAACAGAAGAAGAAGAACAACAACAACAACTTCTTCAACTATAAACAACGATCGAAATCTTCTCCACTCAACATTTTAAATAAAGGCATTTTAAATAATAACACCAAAGTACAGCAATAATATTCAAGCATAACTTTCTGAATGTGACGGGCGCCACCGTTTTGATTTGCTTGATTCCCTCGTTTTTCGTCTTCTTCTTGTGCTATATGGCGGTTGGCAAACAACTTTTGGTGCATTACCGCCACCAACTGCTTGATTTCCTCCTTCAATACTGGCAGTAATACCGCAGATCGTCACTAGGAGGCGAGGAGTAGAGGAACCAAGATAGCGTGATGTGTTAACGGTCGTCAGAACGGAGCTCCGCCTGGTTGACTGATCTGAGCTCGGACCGGTCTCGGCATGGATCGGTTTTTCAAGGGTAGTGTAAATGTGGGGTTTATGTTTGCATTGTTGTTGTGATGTGAGGTACTGTACAAGGTGGCTTGTTCTTGATGAGGAGATACCGCCTTCGGTTCTCATAAAACTTTTAATTTACTTTACTCTGAGAGCCTTAAATATCCAATATAACCAACTGGATTCTGCCACAAGCCATGTATTGAGGCTCAGCAAACATGTGGAATCAGGTGCTTTGGTTAGATAAGACCAAATAGTGTCAGAGTTTTTTTTTATTATTATTTTGGCCAAGATTCTAAGTTGTTTTGAAAAAGCAACTCTGTACATCACCCTACCAATATCGCGCCAACATTAAATATAGTTATAGGAGCATCATGGTTTAGGGATGTTCTTTAACACGAACAGTGAAGCTGGTCAGAGTGCATTAGATAAAGGATGGAGCCAAATGCAGGACCTGTTGGATTAAAAATGATCTATGTTGAAACATATTCATGTGTTCAAATGGCCTAGTCAAGTCCTAGACCTACAGACCTTGATGCTTTCCATGCAATCAGATGGAGCTTGTGCTGTTTTACTAAAAAGAAATGGTAAAGGTGTTAGAGAAACCTGCAACTATGATTTCAAAGATGATAACACTCAGTTGTATGTCATATTTCTATGGTCGTTTCACTTTTTAAAATTAAAATTAGGGTTGTCCCGATACAACTTCTCATTTTCGATACGTTACCGATAATGCTGCTTTGAGAATTGGCCAATACCAATACCGATATTAGACCGGCATTTATTGCTTATTTTATACTGCGGAATGTTAGACACTTGAAAAAATATCTAGAAATAAGTTAAAATTTCTTAAACTAAGTGTATTTACCCTTAATTTTTGTTGGTAAATGAGATAGTTTGCCAATTGAGTGAGTATTTTTGCTCTTAAAATAAGTAATTAGATAACATAATAATTGGATAATATGCACTTGAAATAAGACAACGCAATTGTGTTTTCTTATTTTAAGCATAATTTGTCTTGTTCCATCGGCAAAACGTCTCTTTTACCTCCTCAATCTAAGAACAAATGCCTGTATTTTAAGAAAAAAATGACTTATTAGATTAAATTTTTTTCCAATGGAAAAGGCTTGGTCAGATAATATTAATTAAACAAGGAACAAAAGTCAACAACAAATGGTTTGGAAACAACTGACTCATGTAATATTAACCAATGAGTTACAGAAACTTTCAACAGAAGCGGTGTTTCTATCAGCCTTAAAATATTTTAAGATGATTTTAGATGCCGGCTGATGAAATCTGATATTATTTTTTGGCTAATATGTTAATATCGGATCGGTTCATCCCTACTTGAAATCAAAAATGTTTAAGTTTGTGTTCACAATGTGGCGTGATAAGATTCTAAAAGTAGGCATGTCTTAGTGTTCTTCAAAGGCTAATGTTTTTGTAAAGAGAAAAAAGAATGTTAAAGATGTTTTTGTGTTTTTTTTCCTCTAGGAGCTTTGACTGAATGTTACGATGAGCTGGGGAACCGTTACCAGTTGCCGGTGTACTGCCTCTCTCCCCCCGTCAACATGATCGAAGAGCGCTCAGACGAGCCCGACGGATCGGATCCAGATTCCTTGACGGCAGACCCATCCACTGGCAGCGCCAGCGACCCCATTTCAGGGGGCGAATGCCAGCTTAGACTTCGGCTTTCCACGGGACGCGATCTGCGCCTGGCGGTCCGCTCCACGGACACCGTGGGCATGATGAAGCGTCGTTTGCAAAACCTGGAGGGCGTACCTGCCGCGACCCAGCGCTGGTTTTTCTCAGGTCGGCCGCTGACAGACAGGCTCCGTTTGGACCAGCTCAACATTTCCAGAGACTATGTAGTTCAGGTGATATTAAGCCAGCGCCCTCCCCCAGAGCCTGTAACACCCCCTGGACACACAGTAGATCCCTCTGGGCCAGTGGTAGTGGCAGACACTCCGTCTGCTCTGCCTCTAGAGCCCACACCTGTGGAGAACTGATCAAAGCCAGGCCCTAGTTGTTAAAAAACAAGGAGGATGAAAAGTGACAAAGCTGAATTAAAGGCGATTGTTCTTCTCTTCTCTGCTCTTCAGTTGTTTTCGCTGAGAAGGGCTATAAAGGTAGAGAAGCATAAAGACTCTTTATTAGAGAAAAGACTCCTGTTTTTGGTTTTACAAATTGAAATTTTAACCTTTTTGTTTTTCTTGAAGTTTTTTTAAATGATCCTATGGAAACCAAACTACAAAAAACACCTGAGACGGTTAAAGGGTTTGCTGAGCAGCTTAGAGGTCCAAATGTCCGTATGTTCAGGTTCTGTTTGCAAAGGCTCTTTAGATGAACTCTGGTTTTCAGGCTACAGTGTTGGAACCTTTTTCTGAATGTACATCTTCAATTCAGAAAGCTAAGAAAGGAGAAAATTTTTAATGCATCGCAACAACCACAAAACAGGTAACATTTAACCATTTCAGTCAGGGAGTCAGAAAGCTAACAGATTTTTATATTGAGAAGAGCTGGTAGTCTGTAACTATAGCTGCTGCTGGATTCCTCACCTCACTCTGAATCACTAAACAATCAAATTATACAATCGTTTAGAGAACAGTAAGTTGTTTCATCATTGGCTGTAAGTGTTTGTGTGAGGAGGCTCACACCAAAGGGCCGCATACCGAACTTATCCATAAGGAAAAAGGATCGACCTCAGACACAAAGTTGCATATTTTGAATAAAAATAGAATCTTTTTAAGTATGAATTGTCCAGCGTTTTCATTTCTTCAGTTGTTTTTTTTTTTATTTTGGTGCAAATTCACATCAGAACACGAAGAGGGTTTGTATCAAAGAAAACATCGACATGGATATAAAATAATTACACCACAAATGTATTACATTTATTTTTCAGTAATTAACTTTGTTAAAATAATGTGATGCAAAGAATGAGACTTAGATCGTTTTAATGTTTTTTATTACATACAATGAGACGCATATGGTGTGTAATTTAGGGAGAAAATTAATATGAAAAACTCCGTAACCTGGTTGTATAAATATGCACATCCTTATATGAGTACTCTGTTTCAGAAGACATCTTGGGTTTGCACAAGACATCATTCATAATGAATATTTTTAACCAGAAATATAGTCACACTATCCTTGTAAAAGGTAACATCTATTAACTAATGGACCAAGGAGTAAAGGTATCAGATAAGCAGCACTAAATATACGCGATGGCACAGCTAAGAAAGTCAATATCGTAAAAAATATGGTGATATACGTCCAAAACAGAGGCGGTTTCTCCAAATTTATTGAACAGGCAAGATGGCGGCTTCATTGACAAGTCTTTTAAGTGGCCAAAAAAACCAATAAACTGTTAGAGGTATAACAACAGTTGTGGTTGTGTTTTACGTCTAGATTGAGGAATAAGAGCTGCTTCAAATTTCTCCAATGTTTTATTTGAGAAAGTGTTATGGTGGAGGTAGAGCCAAACTTGAACTTTCAGACAAATTTCAGATGGTCTGCTCGGCACTAGTACACCACTGCTATCACAAAGGAAAAAATCAAAATCTAGTAAAAATCTAAATACCCGTATTTTCACGACTATAAGGCGCACCTAAACGTCTTTTTTTCCCCTCAAAATGTGCGGTGCGCCCTTTGGTGCGGTGCGCCTTATGTGTGTTGTAACTGCGACTTTTGAGACCACCTCATTGAGGAGATGATGAAAGAGTGGCTGAATGTAAGGAGACCAGGTGTTTTTTTTCCACTCATCACCATCGCTGTTAATATGTAACTCCATGCGTGCCCATCTCACAGCTGATATGAAAAACATGGGGAAACAAATTAACCCTGTGCTCGCTGTTATCGGTGTGAACCGGACCCAGCAGGTGCAGCAGAAGCAGCGAGTTTACATGCAAAGTCAATGGTTGACGCGCGTATAGGTGCAGCAAAAGGTCCTGCAGCGTACCGCCAACGCGCTGCTGCTGCTCAAGATGGAAAAATTTAAGTTTTGCTGCTGGACGCACAGCGAGACAGACACAGCGCTCTGATGACATATGATATTAACGCAAATGAAAAAGGCTGGACTGATGAGAAGATGATGAAAGGCAGGTGTATGTGAGGAGACCGGGTGCTTTTTTCCACGCATCACCAACGCTGCGTGCCCATCTCACAGCCGATGTGAAAAAAAGGTGAATCAAATGAACGCTGTGCTCACCGTTATCCCGGGGGTCTGACAAAGGAGCTTCAACTGCTCGACATCGGTGTGAAGCGGCCGTTCAAAGTAAGGCTGCGAGCAGCGTGGGAGCGATGGATGACAGACGGAGACCACAGTTTCAGGATAAGTGGAAGGCAGCGCCGGGCGAGTTACGCCACCGTTTGCGGATGGATTGTTGATGCTTGGACTAACGTGTCTGCTGGCTCTATTGTTCAAGCTTTTGCAAAAGCCGGCATTATTTCTGAGGAGCCGCGCTGCACGGAAAGTGACTGACAGCGAAGAAGGGGAAATTGGCATGTCTGATTTAGTGCAGCTGTTTAATTCAGAAACAGAGGATGATGACTTTGATGGGTTTGATTAATACTTTGTAATAAATACATGAATAAAGCACAAACATACTCAGTTTTGCTTCCGCTCTATTTTTCTACCTGAAAACTTAATTCAACAGCAGCCTCTGGGCCGGGTCTCCTCCTCTTCACCGCGGTGGCTGGCAGGTGTTTTTTCATCTAAATAATCTAAATCTTGCAGCTATATTTGCTGTGATCAGTGGGAATAAAGTAGTTTTAATATGTTTTTAAGTGAGAAAGTCCACCTGAAAACTTAATTGCAGTCAGTTCATCCAGATTATCTATTTCTGTCGGAGGCGCTCAGACCCCCACATACCAGCGGTGCACCGACAGCAGAAATCCCTTCAACAGCAGCCTCACCGCGGCGGCTGGCAGGTGTTTTTCATCTAAATAATTTACAGTGCAGGCACCAGGATACCGGCAATAAAAGCGAACATATTCCGTCGGCAGGTTTCAGGATTTTAAGTTAATTTAGGAGTAATCACAGCGCTGTGTCATCTGCGATGTGTCTGTCTCACGTCCAGCTGCCAGGTTTGATTAATACTTTGTAATAAATACATGAATAAAGCACAGTCATACTCAGTTTTGCCCCCGCTGTATTTTTAAATACGCAGTAGAGCTATTTAAAGGTAGTAGAGGACATGTACCTGTATATAAAAAACGCGCCCTATAGTCCGGTGCGCTTTATGTGTGTGTTAAATACAGGAATGGGACACATAACTGAGACTGCGCCTTTTAGTAAGGTGCGCCTTATGGTCGTGAAAATACGGTAAGTAATTTTTTCTTAAATAAGTGCATTTTTTCTTGATTGGTGAAGGAGACATTTTGCCAATGAAACAAAACAATTTACATTTAAAATAAGAAAATGCAATTGCATTGTGTTAGTTCAAGTGCATTTTATCTAAATGTCTTATTTTAAGAGTAAAAATACTCATTCCATTGGCAAATCATCTCATTTACCTACTCAAATTACTGGTTAATACACTTAATTTACAAACAGGTCGCCAGTCCATCGCAGGGCAACACAGAGACAAACAACTATTCACGTGCACACTCGCACCTAAGGAGAATTTAGAGAAGCCAATTAACCTAACAGTAATTTTTTTGGACTGTGGGAGGAAGCCGGAGTACCCGGAGAAAACCCACGCATGCTCAGGGAGAACATGCAAACTCCATGCAGAAAGACCCCAGGCCAGGAATCAAACCCGCGACCTTCTTGCTGCAAGGCAGCAGTGCTACCCAGTGAGCAGCCCTGTCCTCGATTTTATTTTCTTAAAAAGACCTAAATGACGTTTTCCCTCCCGTTAAATTGGAAACGTACTAAAATATGTGTTAACAGTTAATGTACTTCCTTAGGTAATAAATGCCTTAAAATCGTGTCTGTTTAATCACTCATCTCTGCCCGATCTGCACCAGAAATAGGATCCTACGCTACTTCCGGTGGCTAACTCTTTCGGCTTTGGATTTCAACATAGTCTTTTTGAGTTTTATGTTTTTGTTTCATTTTAATCTGGTGCTATATGGTGGATAATATAAAGAAAGAAACAACTAAAATGCAGATAAACATGGTTTAATTATACTTTGCCCAGACTGCTCTGAGCATGTCTGATGATGACATCAGAGAAGAAGTTTAACAGAAGAAAATGTAAAAAACATAAAAAGTCAAAAAACATTTTTTTAAAGATGTGTGTTAGTATTATTTGGTGAGTTAAGGATAGAAATAGTTTTAGTACCATAATTACATTATCTATGGACACCCGGATGTATATCTATTTGCGGATGCGCAGGACGGATCATGCTTCCGGGACGGATCGGGTAGTGACCGTAGCCTCTCCACGCTGGTGCTGTTTCCCCAGCCGCATTCCCGCTCTGCCTCCCCTCACCCCTGTAGTTCTCCGTCAGTTTTCTCCCACTGATTTCCTGCTGCTGCTGTTATATATTTGTGGTTATTCAGTAAATTGCATATTATACAACATTTCCTGAACAGTTGGTGCAGGTGAAGATGGCTTTGGGCAAGAAAGATATCCTGTAGTGGTCAGTATTGCAGGAGTTCTAACATAGCCTCTGACAGAAGAAATTGTATTGTTGTATGATAGGCTCAGGGTTGCCTGTAATTTGTGTTTTTTCTTATTATAAATAATATATAATGAGCCTGCATCAACAATTTGTTTTGTATATTTAAGTCTCTGACTATGATGCTTCCATTCCAACAGATGATCTAATTTGATTTTGGGAGATTTCCTCAAGTTGAGCTCCATGGACCTCTGACCTGGACTTTGGATGCACTGTGTTAAGCAGACTGAATCCTAAGAGGTCATTCTCACACCAGATGTTCTCCTCCATCTTCTGATCACTTGGATATCCAGCTTGCTAACTCTTTGGTTAAGCTCCCCCATGCAGTCTCCATTTTAAATGCAAATATTGGACCACATTAGAAGGTGAGAACTTAGAGAACCACTGCTTCTGTTTTAACCTCAACTAACCAACCAACCTCTTCCCTGCGAAAACCTTCAGCAGCTCGATGAAAGGAGAAAACCTACACTTTTAGATTGTAGGTAACTCTATTATCAAGTATATGTCTGAAAGTTAAAAGAACTTGCCGCTGAGCTGAAAGGAGATGGCAACCTATGAAAGATTACAATATTGATACCAACAAAAACTGAAAGGGCATGGAAAGATTAATTCTCTCAAATCAATTCTGTTAATTCTGGAAATTGTAACTGTAGGCATATTTATAAATCAGATGAATTATAATCCACTGGTTTTTAACTCTTGAGAAATGCAATGATTTTGCCTTCTGCTTCATATCGAGGATCGATATAATTAGAAATATTAGTATTGCAAATTCCTTTTCTGGTTTATCTTCCAGTATCCCTACACATTGTCTAAAACAAACATTTTTTCCAACTTCTTCAAGTAAATGGTATTAGCATATAGGGTTAGAAAATAATAATTCAACTAACTTCTGCAACCAGTGCCGTAGGTCCCATACTTACCAATTCATTTAAAAATGTGCTTGATTTTCTTTTGAATGACATCAGTGCTTCTTTAACATCTGGAATCTTTCCTTCTACTCTCAAACATGTTATTGCAACACTGCTGTTAGAAAAGAATACACTTAATTCCTCTAAACTTATATAACTACAGACCCATTTGCACATCTGCCCTTCTTAGGTCATATACTTAATAAAGTTGTATATTGACACTTTTCGGTCTTGGTTTAGAAATAATTATAGCACAGAAACGACACTGTCAAAGGTAATAGTTTTTGACTAACCGGGAATCAATGATAGCTCAACAGATTTGCTTTCACAAGCAGACCATTACGACTGTTGCCATATTTTCTGCTTTGTACTCTTATATGAAACTACTGAAAATGATTGAGTGTCAATTCGCATGGAACCTCACAGAGACAGAAATGGAGGTGAGAAAAAACATGGGGAAGAAATAAGGGAAGAGAGAGAGAGAGACGGAGAAAGGAAAGACTGCATGGAAAGAGAGAAAATCAAACAGCAAAAATAAACGACACAGAAGATATACAGTAACCCCTAGAAGTCTGTTTCCACACCTGTATGAGATGAGAGGGACAGAAAACAGAAAATAACAGCAAAAGGGTGGTATATATATAGCTGCAGCTTAGTATTTAGTATTAGTGTGTATCTATGAACAAATGGAACCAAACTCCTGAGCAAAGGAGGGCAAACAAAGGGATCCACCAGAGAAGGGCAGACTCAAGCACTCGGAGCCTGACCCCCGAGGGGCCAAACCCCAAAAGAGCCCAGCCCTTGAGGGGCCCAACCCCAGACGCCACAGTGCAGAGATTCCATGGGGCCACAGCAGCAAGCCTACGGCCTCCACCAATGGCCGGTTACACCTGAATGAAAGTCCAGGAGTCCAAGGCCCCGGATGGTGAGGAGGCTGGGGCCTGGCCTGACAGCACACACCAAACTACCTAAACTCGCCTAGCAAACATTCATTATGTTTCCAATGCTGTAAAAATTTGAATAATAAATATATTTATACAATAAAAGTAAACATTTCTGTTAATGAAGATTTGTGTCATAGAATGTAAAACATGTTTCAGCGCGGTGCAGTGCCAGGCAGGTGGCTGTTTTAAAAAAAGCGGCGGGTGTATATCAGGCCATGGATCCCAGAGGAAAAAAAGGAACATAGCTGATAAGAATAGAGGACTCAAAGAAGAATGGACCGAATCATTTGCTTTCATTACCAAAGGAAAAGGATTGCCTGCATGTTGGCTTTGTAATAAGAAGTCGTCACTTGTAGAGGCATTTCAAGGGAAGGCATGCTAAATATCCAGCCGACCACTAAGTTGGGAGTAAGAGAAAAAGGTGCGAATGCAAAACTTCTGGAGAAATTAGAGGAGTGAAAAGATAGATTTAAGAAGTGGATTGCATCTCTGAACTCCACTTCTACTGCGAGCATCAAAAACCATTCACAGATCAAACAGGTAACGCTTTTATGCAGGTACGTGAACTTTCTTCCATTTTTTCCACCAGGCTGCTGCCTGTCTATGGCGAGAGGCGGGTTCGTCAGTCTATATAAGCCAATTAACCTAACAGTCATGTTTCTGGACTGTGGGAGGAAGCTGGAGTGCCCGGAGAGAGCCCACGTATACACATAGAGAACATGCAAACTCAATGCAGAAAGACCCCGGGCCGGGAATTGAACCATCTTGCTGCAAGGCAGCAGTGCTACCCACTGCCCCACTGAGCAGCCAAACTGAGAATCAATTCATTTTAGAGATGTTTTAATTGATCATAAAGCCTTACATTTCCTGGCACCTTCTTTTATATCTGTGATACTAATAATTTAATGCTAATAAGTTTATCCTGAAAGAATCTTGTTGCACCTAGAAGACATTCTGATTTAGCCTTTGGCTCTTTCTGTTGACGGTATTTATGTATATCATTTTTTTTTTTTTTTGTGCTAATATGTTACCATTCTGGTTTTAGTGTATGTATTGATTGTTCCATATTTTATGTTTTGTTCCATCCTGTTAGGCCCATGATTGTCATGGGCTATGGGCATGAAATGGGCTACATACATTTACTTTATTTTCCTCATGATTTTATTTCAGATTAAATCTTTTATATTTACTCTCCCCCCAGCTAATAGAACATGGAAATTCATCTAAAAACTGCAGAAATAGGCAGGCGATCTGATACACAGTTCCACTTTGTTGACACTGACCCTGCTTCACCTTTTAATGTACATTAAGCTTGTGTCTTGGTTCCTGCTTTTTCCTCTAACTTTCTCACACATTTCATTTACCGCAAAAAAATGTAAATCTAAATAAGTTTTTTTTTTCTTAAAGCTACAGTGTGTAATTTTCAGCGACATCTAACGTCCAGACTGCAGACCGCAGCAACATGAACATCTCCCCCCCACCGCTTCTCCCCCCCAACAGTACGGGGAGCGTTACGGGACAAAATGTCTTCCACGACGTCCGCATCACCTACCTTCTCAAGTGATGAGGTTTGTTTACATAGATAATTTTACAGATAGTATTTCATTAGTCTGTGTAGGGTATAGATTTCACCATCTCAGTTTATCTCTCTCAACTTGCCGTAGTTACCTTCGAGCGTATTGGGCGATCTCGCAATCGCTAGTTTGTTGGCTCTGCGCTGCCGTAGCGCAAAGATGTCTGCCTCCATGGCTGCGAGACCCGCTCCTATGTAATTATAAACAACGAATTCTAAGGCAACGCAAATATTAAGGTTAAGAGGCTGAGCTCGTAGATGATGATAAATAACATAGTTACGGTATGTATAATATATTACATTTCTGACTGTATATCCCTGTAATTATTACACACTGTAGCTTTAAAACAAGAACTTTTTTTCTTGAATCTGGGAGGTAGGTGAGACACTTTGCCAACGGAACAAGAAAACTTTAGCTTTAAAATAAGAAAAAAAACAGTTGCATTGTCTTATTTCAATTGCATATTATCTAATTATCTTATTTTAAGAGTTAAAAAAAACTAATTCCATAGGCAAATTATCTAATTTACTTACTAAAATTAAGGGTAAATACACTTAATTTAAGACATTTTTACTTATTTCTAGATTTCTAGATCGTTTTTGCTGCGTTTAACGCCATAATGTGGGGTGGATGTTTACAAACCTGGGCACAACTGGGTGTTTCAACACAATAATGATCCCCATCACAAGTCAAAATAAAGCCCCGAGCTGAAACCTTCTGCGTGTTTGTGGATTATCCGCACAGGGCAAGTAAGTGCAGGAAAACACAGAGTACATTGTATCTATATACGCACAAAAGATTACTCTATATAAAGGTTAGAAACAGATAATGGGGGGAAACAAACAGCTCGTTGGACTTGGCCATAGAAAAGCAAAAAATTTGCTTCAGGGAGAGATTTACTCATTTAGCCATATATTAACAATATCTTTTGTTTTCTAAATTTGGTCCCATATTTGAAACTATACATCTGAGTCAGAGGGAAAGGGTTTGTGCAATTCCTTTCAGAGCAAAGAATTGAGAGAAAGTGAAATGTCAGAACTGAAACCACAAGACAAACTTTTCTCCTTTCACAGTCATCTCTCACCTTTCTGCTCACAGGCTAAAATGATTTAAAAGAAACTTCCGCATCTAAGTGGAGGTATATTTATAAGAATTGGTCTCATTACAGAAATGCTCACTAAATGTTAGGGGACATATTGCAGGCTGGAAAAGGATAAAGAAAAAAACCCCTCTTGATAAATGATTAATCTGCGCTCATGAATTCTTCTTTCCTGATAAAATCCAAGGGTTTCTCTTTTGTACCATTAGATTTTCTGCCATTGTCTTCTTCCAAAGAATTCTCATGATTGTGTTCATCAATCAAACAACTCAATGACTTCACTTCCACTTTAACTTGTATCTTGTGGTGCACTCACTTCCCCCTGTGGCAGTCAGTGGGGCTGCCTAATAATCAAACATGCAATTGTTTTGTAAAACCTTTGCTGTGAAAAATGTGTTGACTTCCGCATGACAGCAAGTTTATTGGGCTTATAAAGCAAATCAGTCACGTCAAATGTCAAAGGGTATTTGAATGCAAACAGCTGGATTGGCTTTCTATGCAGGCTGAATGATGTGACGTAGAAATTAAAGCCGTCCTCTGTGTGCACACGGGGGCTTTTTTGTTTTGGCTTTTGTGGTGTATAAATACTGCTGTTACATACAGGCAAGACAGACTCTGATCTGCTTTCAAGCTCAACATTTTGGATCGATTGTCACACGGTCAAGGTAAAGTAGATTATGATCAGTCTAATTAGGCATTTTTTATGGTATCTGACTGGACATAAAGCCAAATGCATGCTGCTGACTTGATCTAGATATCTGTAAAAGAAACAAATGGAATAGAATTTTATACAGTCATGTTTTCAATATACAGCATCTAGCAAAAATGAAGGGAAATCTATTTTTTTTTTCCAAATTTTTTTTAGATACATATTCTTGCTTTGTGATTTCATTCTACCTTATATTATATTTTTTGCAAAAACGCAGCCTATTTGTTTTAACATGCTGGTCATGAAGTTGAACTTAAAAAATAAACAACAGCATATGATGAAATTAAACAATACAAAGATTGTATTTTTTTTTATCATTTTTTAAAAAAGCTTTATTTTTACTGTTTTTTATCTGAAATTTGTAAATATTAATTTCATTTTTTCTTCATCCTTTAGAGATGCATTCCTTTCTCCTGTTGGTCCTGTGTGCTGCTCTGGGTTTAACCAGCTCTAATGTCCACCAGCATCACATAGAGACTCTAATGGACAATGGTTTTTATTGCTTTGCTTTTCCCATTTCATTTATTTAATTTTTTAGCTGCTAAATATTAACCAGTCTCTTGTTTCTTTTTATGGTCTTCCCAGCGCTGGTGTTGCGAGTGCCTGATTCTCTTGGAAGCATGGTGGAAGTTCCCCTAACCTGTGGAGCCGCTTATCAGCCTCATGAGGTGTTTTGGAAAAAGAATGGTAATAAAATAGCTTGATTTTCATTAGTAGTACTATTTGTAGAGCAAATTTATTTGTAAAAGGCCTAATTCAGTGTGTCGTTTTAAACAAAAAATAAAGACAACCTGATATTTTTGTATCCTGTGGTTTAAGTTAACAAAGACATAGGAAGTTCACAGACCTAAGAGGAACATCACTGTTGCTAAAACTGAATTTCTCAGGGGAGGAACTGACGCCTGCTGTCCAGGGGAACCATATCACGGTTTTGGTTAAAGAGATGAAAGCCGGGAACTACTCGTGTCACCTTAGTTCCACTGGAGAATACGTGAATCACACACTGATCCTGGTCCAGCTGGATCCAGACAACAGAACCGTCATACTGGAGGAGAAATCTCCCCAAGAAGGTGAGGCTAGAGAGAAGATGGGATTGTTTGGAGGGAATTATAGATTAGGAGGTTTGAAAAAAAAACAGTTAAAAATGGGATGGATGCTTCTGATCTGGTAAAATAGGAATAAAATAAGAATAAGAACTGATCAGTTTCAACCCTTGTGTAGGATTGTTTGCTCACAAATTTGTTTTAGTCACCCATGTTGAAGGGTTTCAAGTAGTCATAGTCTTACTATAGCATTAAGGCTTTGACTAGAGTTTCTGGCCTCACAACCAGTCTTTTTTTTAAATCTTAAAGTAAGATGAGGCAGACAAGGCTTTAAAAGTTCCAGATGTGTGTTTCTAGGTTCTTTCTTGATCTTCTGGATTAGTTGAATGATTGCTCTTTTGGTTATTTTGGTGGACCTGCTCCTCCTGAGGAGATTCTCCTTTGTCCTTTGCAGTCCTTTGAAAACTGAACCTCAAAATGTTAAATATCTTCCCTTAAATTTCACAAATTCTTGCTCTTTCCAGCCTACACGTTGTCATGCAGGTTGTGTCTTAGTTAAATCTAGATTCTACAGCCCAGATCAGTGCTGGGCATGAGTAGTGGCACTGAAGCAAAAACAGTTTGGCATTTTGGCTCACATAGACCAGGTTGGTTTCATTAACTTTTTGTGAGGATTAAAGAGTTGGGAATTTTTAGGCTTATTGACAATAAATTAGAATGTTTAAACTAAGCATTAAAAATGGTCACTGAGCTATTTCAAATATAAATGTAGCAGTTTTTAATACTTTTGCTTTTCTCTTGTGGAATTTGCACGATTTTTGTATTCATGAGTGATTAATCCTGTGGTACAATGCAGTGGCGCCACCAGGGGGTGGCCACGGCCACCCTGTGCAATGTCCTGGCAACCCCATTGGTCAGTGTAAATTTTAGTAGCATCTAGGGTTGGGAATTGAAAAGATTTTCACGATTCCGATTCCCTTTTCGATTCTATGAAACGATTCGATTCTTTATCGATTCTTTTTTCAATTCCAATTTGGGGGAAAAAGGAGAACAAACAGTTTGATTATCAGAGTCAACTTTGTTTACTTAACTATTGCACGATCTTACAAACTCAACAAGATCAAGATGTCCACAGGAAATGTGAAACTGGAGTAACATCTGTGTTTAAATGAAAAATGAATACAAGAACAAACTTAATAACCAACAATGTCTAATAACAAATTATGGGATAATAACCTATTTTAAATAACAAAAAATACTAATTATAAAACAGTAGTAGGGAAAATTAACAGTTCTTTTGCAAAAAGATGAGCATATCTGCTTTTTCTGGAAGGATACAGGATCTTTCAGCGCTTAAGGTGTCTCCAGCCGTGGAGAACACCCTCTCAGATGGGGTGGAGGAAGCCTGCACACAGAGGTAGTTTTCAGCCAGTCCAGATAGCAAGGGCAGCGTATCTTGCTTCTTCCACCACCACAGTGTGGCGCTATCCCTGCAGGGGATGGAGGGCAAGCTTTTATAGAGCTGGATTTCCTGATCTACCCTCTGGGCTAAGGAAAGACGGGGCTTTGATTCACAAAGTGACCGCAGCTCGTTGTCTTCCTCCTCGAATAGTTCTTCCAACTTGCGTAACTTGCGTAAGTTGCGTAACTTACGTAAAAAACGTGACGTAAGTCGTGCTCCCCAGAGCCGGCGCTCTAGGCTCTGGTGCTGCGGGAATCGAAAAAAGAATCATTCAGCGAGCTGCCAAACGATGCCATGGAATCGGAAAATACGGAACCGGTTCTTAACAGGAACCGGTTTTCGATTCCCATCCCTAGTAGCATCCGTTTAGCATTTCATCCCATTATGCACGCACTAAAGCAAGATACAAGTTTACTTAAGTCTTTATGATTTCTACAGGCAGGTTTACCACAATAGTAGATTCAAACCCTGAAATTATGGCTTTTAGTTTCAGTGGCCACCCAAACATTTTTAGTGGCCCTATCTGGCCACCCCTATAGAATATTTCTGGAGGCGCCACTAATACCATGGCTTCTACATCATTTGCAACAGAAACAAACATCTATTTTCTGAAACAGTCAGTTAAGTTAGATCTCTCGATAACCTGCCATCTATGCTTTGGACTCTTGCTACCAAGAGAAAATCCACCCATGCAAGGGAAGAACCTGCTGCCACAGCTATGAACCAAAGGTCTTGTTGCTGTGAAGTAGCATGTCTAATGCTGAAGTGTGTGGCTATATAGGAAAAGTGGTCTCTGGTAATCAGAGAGTTGAGGGTTTGATTCAGCCACATACCAAAGTATCCTTGGCCACTGAATAGGTTAGCCAATAGCAGTGATGGGACTAACGGCGTTGAAAGTAACGGCGTTACTAACACCGTTACCTTGTTTTAGTAACGAGTAATCTAACTAATTACTTTGACTGTAAGTACTGTATGTCGCAGTTACCATTGCAGACACCCCGTTACTGCGCGTTACTCAGGTCGCAAAATGAACCTTTTTTCATGATAGGACTCGTGCGCGCCTTGTCATGAGAGAGGGGAGGATGAGAATGGCTGATGTATAGTGAGATTCCGTCTGTCAGTTGGGTAGGTGGGTGTTTCTGCTGGCGGGTGTTAACGTACAGCACAGACAGAGAGATGGAGTGTGAGGAGGATCCAGCAGCAAAACAGCGTTTTCCAGATGGAAATACCGGTGTTACGTCGAGCTGCGTTTCCCCATCAGATACGGTTTCACCTGCATCTCCGCACAGCGCAGGCGGCACGATTCACCGCGCAAGCGACAGGAAACGCGCATGCTCGCTAAAGGCGCGCAAGAGTCGCCCTGTGCTCGCGCCACAGGAGAACTATGGAGAGCGTGAACGATCAAATGTTAGCCTATATGTAGGAAAGGGAGAAATCTGGATGGATGGATGGATGGATGGATAGATACTTTGCCTTTTCAACCAACTTTATTTTTTATTTTAAACATTATTTGATGGCTTTTGTAGCAGGGATGGAGATCCATATTTTATGTCACACACAGAGTATACATCTAGATAGATAGATAGATAGATAGATAGATAGATAGATAGATAGATAGATAGATAGATAGATAGATAGATAGATAGATAGATAGATAGATAGATAGATAGATAGATAGATAGATAGATAGATAGATAGATAGATAGATAGATAGATAGATAGATAGATAGACAGATGTTGCAGTATCTATAACAACCCAAACACACAGGACTTCAGAATTAGACATCCCCAGTTATTAATTTCATATACTCGCCAGATCTGAATGCCCTGTTAAACTAAACTTCACATCGCGTTCCCCCCTGATGTCATTTACGTTGAGTTGCAATAAATGCTAAACTCTCTGCAGGTTCTTGTCTTTGTCGTCCGCTCTATTCAGCTGGCTTTTGAAACACACGGCGAGAAGGTGGGGGCCGGGTGGTGAGGGTTACAGGGGCGAGAAACGCAAAAGTAACGCAATAGTTACTTTTATTAGTAACTAGTTACTTTTATTGTGAAGTAACTCAGTTAGTAACTCAGTTACTTTTTGGGAGAAGTAACTAGTAACTATAACTAATTACTTTTTCAAAGTAACGTGCCCAACACTGCCCAATAGTGCATTATTTTGTAGCTCTGTGGAATAAAATGCTCTTAACATCAATTCCTACAGGACACATCCACTGCTCCGCATTGAACTACAACGGCTCCTTTCAGTGCAACTGGAAGAAAACGCAGCAAAGATCTCACGCTGCTGTGCTCCTGATAAAGGCAAGCCGGTAAGAGCAGAAGCATCTCCTTTAGTCTCCTCTCTCATTTAAATCAAGCTCCAGAGTGTCGCTTTGAAGAAACCTTTTGCCTATATGAAGGCCCTTTACCTGTTCTGGATGGTGTTTTGCCTTGAATGCAGTTACCAGGAGGAGATATCCTGTATGCTGGATGCTGACGGATCAGGAGTTTTGTGCCAGGATGTCGAATGTCCTTACAAAGAGGAAAAACACCCCATACACCTCACCATCTACATGAACAGCTACTCTCGTCTGGAGGCCTATACAAAGTCTTTCTACCTGAGAGAAATTGGTAAACCTTACAGTAGAAATGTCACCGTTTCTTATCTTTGTTGATTGCATTGATATATTGCTTGCATTAATGTTTGTGTTCAGATTGACCTACTTTTTTTTTTTTTTTACTTACTGATTTTTTTACTTTGACTACTCTGTTTAGTGAGGCCAGAAAAGCTTCCCAACCTGCACATTACCAGCGGTCAGGTGTTCAGGTGGGACTATCCGGACACCTGGGAAAAGCCCCAGACCTACTTTGGCCTCCACTTCCAAGTCAAGGTCCTCCAAAGTGGACAATCCTGCAACAGCGACAACTTCATACTGGTACTAGAAATTAGAACCTGAGTGAAGTTGGCCCCCCCACCTTATTCAAATCAGACAAAATAAGTGTCAAATGTTTGTGCTGGTTTGTGCAGCAAAAATTTTCGTTTGTGTTGTTTTGGCTTTGAAGATATTAATAAAAATGTAAAGGTCAAAAGGTCAACCAGCCCCCCCACCTTCTTCAAATCAGACAAAAATAGTGTCAAACATTTGTGCAGCAAAAATTTTCGTTTGTGCCGCTATCATTTTTTTTACAGTTTAAAATTATATAATCATTGGTAAGCAACTTATAATTTATATGAAATTCAGAGTTTCAGAATGAAAAAATTTTCACTGACCTTTGATGGCTTCTACAAACAATTATTAATATTATTAAAATGATAGCAGTACAAAAAATTTATATATTTTAAAATATGCATTTTTAAATGTTTAATATATTTATTTTACATATTTTATATTTAAAATTAATTCTAAAATTTTATATTTTTGTGCGGCAAAAATTTTTATTTGTACTGCTATTATTTCAATGATATTAGTATTTTGTAGAGGTCATCAAAGTCAGTTAACATCTGTTTTTGCTGCACAAACAAGCACAGAGTTAATTGACACCCACTTTGCCTCATTTGAAGAAGGTCGGGGGGCTGGTTGACCTTTGATGACCTCTAGAAATAATTCTTCATATCTTTAAAATGATTGCGGCACAAACGAAAAATTTTGCTGCACAAACGTAGCACAAACGTTTGACACTAATTTTGTCTAATTTGAAGAAGGTGGGGGGGGCCAACTTCACTCAGGTGAAATCAGAATGTGAATTTCAAGCTTCTACCTTGTCCAAATCCATTTACGTACGATTAACTGTGTTGAATTTTCTAGCAGAATAATCTCACCGAAGAAACCGTGTTCGATGTCAATATCAAATCCAAGAAGTACGTCTTCTGTGTGAGAGCTCAGGACAAACATGCCCGGGGGCCATGGAGCCACTGGAGTCAGTGCATGTAAGAGAATCAGTGAAAGGAAATCATTGTTTGTCAATGTTTAGATTCGATTTTTCTTTTTCATTTGCTTTAATGTAAACTGTATTTTCCTCTCTGCAGAGTAACCAGAAACAACGTTGACTGCCACCTTCGTTAGCTGCCACAGAAAACAACTGAAGACAAAAAGCCAGATGAATGTAAAAAAAAGAATTCTAACGTTAAGTCCAGTGGCATGCACAAAACAATTGTTCATACACCTGTGATAAAGTGCTTTTGACAGTGGTGAGGATGCACTATGTGTGCCCTTTTCCTTTCTGCCTGTGCCCTTCAAAAAGCCTGTGCACGCCACTGGTTAATTCTTAAGTGAAAATTAATGTATACATGTACAGTATTTATTCATCCTTTATTTAAGTTATGTTTCTCGGTTCATAGTGGGTGAAAATTTGAATATTGTTTACTAATTTTTTTTTTTAATAATTTTCCTTTGTTTTATCATAAAGTCAAGAATCTTATTTTTTTTGTCTGAGCCTTTATTCAATTTTTATTTCTTTTTTTTTATTATCACCCCTTTTGTGGTGTAGAAAATATTCTGCAAGTGAAAAACATTCAAAACCCAGATATGTCCTTAGCTGTCACACTGAAAAGAGAACAGCAGAAACCTTTAAATGTCATCACATGATCCCCGGCAGGCTGTTGGTACGGCTACATCTGAAAGGCCATGTTAAAAAAAAAGAAGATGCACAGGTTTAACTTCAATGAAGGAGGTGCAAGATGGAAACCCTTTCTTTTTAAGATAAACATGAAGATCAGATTAAGGTTTGCTAAGCAGGCAAAGTCCAAGACTGCTTAAAGAATGCTTTTTGAACAATATTGTACAGACAGTGGGACAGTAGACTGGCTTTCCTGGTTCAAACAAACTGTGCAGCATAGAGGTAGAAGTGTCATGATTTGGAGAAGCTTTGCTGCAGCGGGACTTCGCCAACTCACCATCATGGAGTCAACCATAAATTACACTGCGTTTCAGGGAAAATATGTGAAAAATCTGTAAAAACGCTCAACCTGATGCAGAACTGGAACTGAAAGAGTAGTACCGGTAGATGGTGACAGGTCATTCCTCACTGTTGCTGATGTTTTTTTTCAACCAAAGGACAAAAACTAGTCATCAGGTAGTAGGATAAGTGTTTCCCTAGCCACGCATGTTTTTGATTTTATATTTTAATTAACCAGTTTCCCTTTTCAAATCAAACTAGATCATTTAATGTGCAAAAAAAAATTGCATAAATTGCAATGTTAATATGTGGTGTCATTTTCTTTTCTTAAAGACTGGCTATGTTCCTTTAGTTAGAAACACATTTTAAAAATCATAAAACTGGGACTCTTATGTGTGGAGGGAACTTAATTGGAAAAACATGATTAGATTTTTTATAACACCAAAGATCAGGACCAGGATGTTATCCAGTTCACAGCCATGCTGGAGATTCTGTGGCCAGACTGATGTAGACCACACGCACATACACTCACCGGCCACTTTATTAGGTACATTTAGGCATGTAGACACGGTCAAGACAATCTCCTGCAGTTCAAACCGAGCATCAGTATGGGGAAGAAAGGTGATTTGAGTGACTTTGAACGTGGCATGATTGTTGGTGCCAGAAGGGCTGGTCTGAGTATTTCAGAAACTGCTGATCTACTGGGATTTTCACGCACAACCATCTCTAGGGTTTACAGAGAATGGTCCGAAAAAGAAAAAACATCCAGTGGGCGGCAGTTCTGTGGGCGGAAATGCCTTGTTGATGCCAGAGGTCAGAGGAGAATGGCCAGATTGGTTCAAGCTGATAGAAGGGCAACAGTGACTCAAATAACCACCCGTTACAACCAAGGTGGGCAGAAGAGCATCTCTGAACGCACAGTACATCGAACTTTGAGGCAGATGGGCTACAGCAGCAGAAGACCACACCGGGTGCCACTCCTTTCAGCTAAGAACAGGAAACTGAGGCTACAATTTGCACAAGCTCATCGAAATTGGACAATAGAAGATTGGAAAAACGTTGCCTGGTCTGATGAGTCTCGATTTCTGCTGCGACATTCGGATGGTAGGGTCAGAATTTGGCGTCTACAACATGAAAGCATGGATCCATCCTGCCTTGTATCAACGTTTCAGGCTGGTGGTGGTGGTGTCATGGTGTGGGGAATATTTTCTTGGCACTCTTTGGGCCCCTTGGTACCAATTGAGCATCGTTGCAACGCCACAGCCTACCTGAGTATTGTTGCTGACCATGTCCATCCCTTTATGACCACAATGTACCCAACTTCTGATGGCTACTTTCAGCAGAATAATGCGCCATGTCATAAAGCTGGAATCATCTGACTGGTTTCTTGAACATGACAATGAGTTCACTGTACTCAAATGGCCTCCACAGTCACCAGATCTCAATCAAATAGAGCATCTTTGGGATGTGGTGGAACGGGAGATTCGCATCATGGATGTGCAGCCGACAAATCTGCGGCAACTGTGTGATGCCATCATGTCAATATGGACCAAACTCCCTGAGGAATGCTTCCAGCACCTTGTTGAATCTATGACACGAAGAATTGAGGCAGTTCTGAAGGCAAAAGGGGGTCCAACCCGTTACTAGCATGGGGTACCTAATAAAGTGGCCGGTGACTGTATTCTGGTCTTGTCAAAAGCTAACCACATACTGGCATAATGTTTGCCTTATTTTGAAAAACATATTGGGTTATGGAATACCCAGATCATGTAAAACACTTTAGGATGCCTCACACACGATGTAATTCAAAAGGATGATGAATACCTGTTAAAAATATTACTTTCAGCATCAAGGACCCCCCCACCCCCCACGGTGCAGCAGTGGATGAGCATTGTGGAAGAGATTTTTGTAATGGAGAAAAACACATATATAGATTAACATTGAAGGAGGACATGTTTGTTGTTAAATGGGAAAAATGGAGCGACTACAGACGCAAGAATACCATTCTTGTATCCAGATAAATATGGTCACGGTTGTCAAACAATGTATATGAAGTTGAATGTATTGTTACCTCTTCACTGTATGTGTTCAGAAATGTTCAATAAAAAATAGGTATAAAAAAAAAATCATAAAACATATTTGTTAGGGTTAAAAAGTAAACAGCAGAGACAGGTTTGGTACAAAAACTGTTTATAAGAAAACAAAAAGGCAGACATGGACATCTCATAATAAACTACACTTCATTTATAAATTAAGATGAAGTTGGTAAGAACAGAAATGGTCTAAGATTAACACCTTTTAGTAAAAACTATTGTAAACAAAGAAGAAAAAAAAAACAGCTGAGTTGTTTTGCTGAGATTTTCTGTTGACGTTTTGAATTCAGCATGTACAAATTACATGCAGATAATAATGAAATGCTAGAAACACAATTTTCGGGCAACACGCGATGAAGTACGTTATTGGTGTAACTGGTATCCACCTGATTATTTTTTCCATCTCCCAGTAGCTTTAGTGGGTCATTGCATTTTGTTTTAAAGGGAAATGTTTTTAAAATAGAATCGGATTTGGCTTTGAACCATTACCCTCAAACTGTTCAAATACAAACACTTTCCAGATATGCTACGGACATTAATAACCATGAAACTAGAAATTAATCCCTGTACTTTGAAATCACTTGGACGTTATTTTAGTTTTCTGAACCAAAATAAAGTTCCATGTTGCCTTCCTTGCTACAGAACCAACGGTACACACAGGAACATATTCCTTAAGGTCCGACAGAAATGTGACAAAGCAGATTTAAATGACTGCAGATGTCTGCAGGTCACTGTGATCTTGACTGTGTGTGTTAGAAACTCTTTATCATGAGCCGGTAGCCAGTCTGCAGTTTGTCACAGTTCACAGCAATTAATTTAAAGAATATATTTGGGGCAAAATGTGCAGACGAAGGAAACTGTGTGGATTTATAAGGAGGATGGGACGCATCAGTTCTGAGCCAAACCGTTTTAGTGACTGCAAGGTAACAGGTTAATGAATGGTACAAGTCAGACAAGGTTGTCTGGAGAGCTGGATAAATTCAGTGGATGTGTGTTGGGAGAACTGAACCATGGGGTTGTTGTTGTTGTTTAGAGCCCAATTGTTTGTAGACAGTTGACTCTTGATCCTCAGTGCTGCTGCCTCTTTGATAAATATCTGTAAAACATAACAAATAAGATCACATTCATCCTACTACAAACAAAAAACAACAACAGGCTTGTTCCTACCGCTCATTTAATGAAAGAATTAACTGAATCTGAAAATAATAAATAAATATTCTATGATAATTAAAAAATGAAAGTAGGACATTGCTTTTTTTAACCATGCTTTAACCAATAGGCCTAGACAAAAATGATGGGACATATTTAATCAAGGTGTGTCCACTAATTAGCATCATAGGTGTCTACAATCTCCTAATCAGTCAGAGGGCCTATATATAGGGCTACAGGTAGTCACTGCTGTTTGGCGGCATGGTGTGTACCACACTCAACATGGACCAGAGGAAGTAAAGGTATTAGCTGTCTCAAGAGATCAGGAAGAAAATTATAGACAAGCAGGTTAAAGATCAAGACTATCAGACCATCTCCAAGCAGCTTGATGTTCCTGTGACTAAAGTTGCACATCAAGAAATCAATGAAACCGATCCATGGGACTGTAGGCAACCTCCCTGGAAGCGGCTGCAGGAGGAAACTTGATGGCAAATCAAATAGATGGATAAGAATAATGGTACCAAAAGGGTCCAGAAAAACTTAAGAGATTTAAGGGGAACTTGAAGCTCAAGGATAATCATTACGGATCGTACCATCTGTCATTGATGAGCCAAAGTTGACTTAAAGGGAGACCATTGTTGAAAACAAATATTAAAAAAGCCAGACTGGAATTTGCCAAACTACATGTTGACAAGCCACAAAGCTTTTAGGAGAATGTCCTATTAACCAAAACACAGACCTAAAAACACCCAAGAGGAAAACATTGGACCGTCTATAGTGGCCTTCTAATACCCCATTTCCACTACCCTTAAAAAACCGATCCATGCCGAAACCGGTCCGAGCTCGGATCAGTTAACCAGGCCGAGCTCGGTTCTGACGACCATTCACACATCACGCTATCTCGGTTCCTCGACTCCTCGCCTCCTAGTGACGATCTGCAGAATTGCTGCCAGTATTGAAGGAGGAAATCAAGCAGTTGGTGGCGGTAATGTACCAAAAGTTGTTTGTCAACCGCCATAAAACACAAGAAGAAGAAGACGAAGAAGGAAGGAATCAAGCAAATCAAAATGGCGGCGCCCGTCACATTCAGAAAGTTATGTTTGATTATTATTGCTGTACTTCGGTATTATTATTTAAAATGCCTTTATTTAAAATGTTGAGTGGAGAAGATTTCGATCGTTGTTTATAGTTGAAGAAGTTGTTGTTGTTGTTCTTCTTCTGTTTCTGGAGGTGCGTTACCGCCAACTACTGGAATGGAGTGTGAATAGGGATGTGCAGCAAGACGGAGATGACGCGTTCTGCTCATGCGCTCTTGTTATCAGAGAACCGAGGCAGGGAAAAACCGAGCCGAGCCCACCTCTGAAACTGGTCTACAGTTAGCTCGGTTCGGTTGTGTCTAGCTCAGTTCAGTTCAGTTTGCTTTCCATTTACACAAGATAAGTTATATCAGCTACTGAGCTCGGACCGGTCTCGGCACGAATTTTCAAGGGTAGTGTAAATGGGGTATATGAACCCTAAACTATATCCTATTGATCATCTATGGAAGGAGCTGAAACACGCCGTCTGGTAAAGACAGCCTCCAAACCTGAGACATTTGGAGCCGTTTGCTGATGAAGAGCGGATCAGAGTAGCTGCTGAGAGGAGCAGACGTCTCATTGACAGTAACAGGAATCATTTGATTCCAGTTTTTAATTCAAATAGTTGTGCAACCAAACATCTAGTTAGGTTACCATAATTTTTGTTTCATGAGTTGTTTTTTTTTAAATCATTTTTGTTAAAGCATAGTTGAAAAGCAATATTTGATTTTCATTTCTTCATACATTTTTTTTTTTATATGACATGTCAGATTAAAGTTATTTCTGTGACCATTGTTGGTTTATCATGAATGTGGGTTACCAAGGATTTTCTCCACCTGTGTAGGAGTGCAGAGGAAAAAAATGATTCACGGTTTTAATGCTTATATAAATAGCTGTGGTTGTAATACAACAAGATGAGTAAAAGCTTAAGGCTTAATTTAACTACTGCAAAAAACTATACTGCCTACGTCTTTCAAGTACTGTGTTTGTAATTAAAACTATCCTGCTTGCTGCAGTATTGACCGTTTTTATGCTTTTTCTGCCTACCTCTCCCAGTGTTTATGATTAAGTCCACTCAAGTCATCAAGCTTGGCGATTTCTTTCAGGTACTGAGCCAGTTTAGAGAGCTCTCTGTCCTTCTCCCTGTTGAGATGTGCCTTCATGAAGGGTCGGATCTGAAAACATCAGCATAAGCTAAGATACAGCAGCAGGTGTGGGGAGACAGAAGAGCAGAAAGCACAGCCGACCTTCAGCCCATTCTGTGGGTTCATCAGGAAGTTTCGTCCGATGTCATCAAACATGATCGTATTCTTTCTGTTGTAAAATTCTTCATACTTCCCCCATATCACACCTAAAGGCTTCACCTGGGGATTAGAGATGGGTGACATGTACTTACAATCAGAATATGTTAGGATATATATTGTATTGATAAAGTAAGGATAAACTAATCGTATCTTCTCTACAGTTAATTACGCTAACTGCATTAGTATGAGTGCCATTCCAATTGTTTGTTTGTTTTTTCCAACAAGAAATCTTAGAGGTTGTCAATTATCTTTAAGAAATTCAGAAATATGGTTTATATTTTCAAAGTTCTTAAATGATTGACTTTCTCATAGAAATTTGTGTGTAAAATGCATAAGTGGCAATTCTGTCCGTTTTTGGATTTTTCCCCCCAATCGCTATTAGAAAAATGTCAGGATAATGAGAAACATCACGATAAATGACCGTTCTACTTGATGTACTCAAAACAGGAAGTCAGAGCAATGATCAGAACCAAACAGAAAAAAACGACAATAAACATCCCACCTAAATGGAGAATAATGTGGACACAGAGTCAATTGCATTTTAACACTTACTGATACTTAGTCATAGAATTTAAGTAGTAAAAGCGTAAACATGGGGATACCATAGCAGTCATTTTGGATTCCGTTCTTGCTTCAATCTACATTTAGGATAGGATGTTTATTTTCTCATATTCTTTTCTAGAGAAATTCAACAATAAGATTGAAGCATCATAGAGTTCATGCTATATTTAAAGGAATAGTACACCCAAAACATGATTAGCCTTCATTTTCTACTCACCCCCATGCTGAACAACACTCTGGAGTACTTTTTTGATATCTCAAATGCATCTGGAGATCTGGGAGGCTTCTTGCTGTCTGCTGACATTCAAATAATGGAGATCTATGGTGACCGAGACAGAAAGGTCCACAAAAGTCCACAAAAAACGTGTCAATATTCCTCCATACTGCTCGTCCAATGTATTCCAAGTGTCCTGAGTGGGTAGCATCCAGAATTTACTCGAAACGAAGTCATTTAGAATGTTTTTAGAGCATAAACAGTAGAGTATAGGATTTCCTGAAAGCGCGCACATGCACGCTCACGAAGCTACGCAAGCCGGCAGACCAAGCCAGATGAAAGTGCGCATTCAGCGTCTGCTCTGCCAATAATGCAAGCGTAGAAGAAGAAAAGTGCTGTTTACCTGTGCAAAGAAAGAAACAACGAAAGAAAAATGTCTGAGGACTTCAGTGTTGAGGAAGAGCATGAGTTCTTTGCCGAGCTGAATGCGCTGGTTTGGTCTGCCGGCTTCCGTAGCGTCGTGAGCGCGCATGTGCGCGCTTTCAGGAAATCCTATACACTACTGTTTATGCTCTAAAAACATTCTAAATGACTTCGTTTCGAGTAAATTCTGGATGCTACCCACTCAGGACACTTGGAATACATTGGACGAGCAGTATGGAGGAATATGGACACGTTTTTTGTGGACTTTTATGGACCTTTCTGCCTCGGGCACAATAGACCTCCATTATTTGAATGTCAGCAGACAGCAAGAAGCCTCCCAGATCTCCAGATGCATTTGAGATATCAAAAAAGTACTCCAGAGTGTTGTTCAGCATGGGGGTGAGTAGAAAATGAAGGCTAATCATGTTTTGGGTGTACTATTCTTTTAATGGAGAATGCCGGACATCCGCGCCGGTATCTCTGTGGGTCCACCAGATCATCCAGAGATGCTCCTAGACTGGGGAGTCTGGGAGCTACGGCTGGATCACTGTCGCTTCGCGTGGTGCCTTCGTCTCTCCTTGATCAGAAACTGTTATCCTGCTTCGGGGATGTGTCACCCGTACAGCAGAGGTAAGGATAGCGGGAGATCAGAAAAAGAGGCCGGAGTAGAGAGTGACTTATTGAGCTCTGAGATGGATATTGGTAAGAAGAGCTTCAGCTAAAACCTGCCAGGACAAAATCTGGTGTGGGAAAGTGTTTCATCTGGCTCTTTTTCAAACCACAAAAGCCAATAAGAAGGTCTCTTAAAACACTATTTTCCTCCTCCTCTTGAATTAACATCATTTTCTGGAGGGCGCTAACATTAGCTCACATTGCCATTACGACTTCTGTCTCCATTTCACCAAAAGGGGCCATTTCAACAATTCAGGGGGGTAATTATTTCTCCTCAAACTCATTACACATAAATTGAAAGTCTAGAAGGAAACATAAAGCATTTTAGCTGGACCTACCTCTACCACCCCTCTTTTCGGGGTGTGTACCGTAATCATGGCTGCACTGTCCAACATGAATGTGATCTTGTAGTTTGGGTTGTCCGTCACTCCCAGCTCCTACATGTATACAGACAAACACAAATATAATAATTGTGTCACCTAAAATCATTTACAAAGAACTTTAGATTGGTTAACACTGACACCTGCTGGCAAACCTATGGTACTGCATTTACTGGAAGGCACACAAAAAATGATGTAAATGGATTCATAATAATGATTATGATGCTATATTACTTTACTAAATATAGCATACAAATGTTATTGTTAGAAGTTACAAAATGAAAGGAATACTTGCTTTCATCTTGGCCTCTATCCACTTCATACTTGTAGCAGCTAAAGAGAAATAACATGAGTATACATTATTTAAAAAATCTGGTAGTAAAGATAGAAACACACAGATCTTTTGGAACATGCTTGATATCTGCTAAACAATATTTTAATTTCTAAATTATTACCCCGCCTTACTAAATCTATACATATATATATATATTCAGTAAGTGAATTCAAAATTTTTACTAGATATGTTCTAGACACACAATCATACGGAAGAGGATTAGGGCCACTGGAAAAAAAAAAAAAAAAAAAAAGTTAACTGATTTTTAAATTTTATTTCAGTTTAGTATGGGAATTCTGACTTTTTTTAATTGTCAGAATTCAGTCAGAATTCTGAGATTAAAGTCAGAATTCTGACTTTTTCCCCCAAACTAAACTGAAATAAAATTTAAAAATCAGTTAACTTTTTTTTTCTCCCCAATCCTCTTCCGTACAATCAGAATCACATAATTCAAGTTTTAATTTATCAGTTTAAGTTCATTTTGATGATCTCTGTCTATAACTACTGAATTTTTGGGTTATTGCATTTATTTGGGCAGTTACAGGCTGATACCATCTGGAGAAAACTGCAGCGTTGCAAAAGGAGCTCTGTCCAGTGTATTGAAAGCATATTCTGTATAGTACATGGGAATACCGTTCAGTTAAATGACCTTCCTGTTTAAAGCTATCGCTCTCATGTAATATTAGGTTTTCCAAGTTTTCATTTGCTGTAAGCATCACACCTCACATATAACTAAGGCTGGTACTAATGGATATTTGTTAATTGATTAATCTGTCGAAATGGTTCAAATGGTTCCTTAAAGAAGATTTTTTACAGAATCAAATCAGGTGAGACTATAACTTTTCCACTTGAGGAGTTCTGGGTAAAGCATATCAACAGACAAATGTTTGTTTTTTTTACCTTAAATTCAAAATATTTACCGGTATGTATTTTTTTTTTTGCAATTTTGATACAGTTGCTGCTCTAAGAGGGTTGCTCTGTCAGCTAAAAGCATGTTTCACACTCTCTATACGATTATTAAATTAGTTGCTGATTATTTCAATAATCGCTTAATCATGATTAATTGTTTCAGCCCTAGATATAACACTGTTTGCGATCATTTTCATAGGTGCTTTACTGTTTGCATAAAATTACTAAAACAAAGTAAAATTCTACTTCATTGACAAACACTGCCAACGATTTAACTTGGAAGACTTGCCGGATTAAACCTAAGTTTAAAATTCTCACAACAGTCTTTTCAGTAGGGGTTTAATTTCCCATACAACACACCTTTGACTGATAAAAGCACATCTCAAACATACTTTTAATACTTATTTTGCACTCTAGGATGTTATTCTAATACACTGACTGTCCCGCCGCTGCTGAAAACCAGTTTGATTTAGGCTCATCCTTAAAAATCAACCAAAAACTGAATTTTGTGTCATTACATTTTCAGTAATTCATCTAAGAAACTTAAAACTGATTCCTCAAACCCCTAAATACATAAACAATAGAAGAATGGGGGGTACATACACCAGATGACAATGTCGTAGTCCTCATAGGCAGACGTGAGAAACTCGTGCAGGTATGGTCTCATCAGCTCGTGACCCGTTTCTGCACAAGACTTGTGATCTAAACACACATAAGAACCCAGAATGAGCTGCTGGTTTTTCAATGATTTCTGATTTGCAAAGTGTAAAAAAAAAAAAAAAAAAAAAAAAAAAACAGATGCTATGAAACAAAATCTTTATTTAACTGTTAATAATACTATACATCTCTAACTCACCAAACAGAGTGTAATCCACATCCAACACCAGGAGCTTCTTGCCTTCTCTGGGAGGGTTCAGTTCTTCCACTTTATAGTCTTTGACTCTGCGAGCTATTTTAGCAAGATTCTCCTCTCTAAAAACCAGGGAAATAAACAGTTCTTAATAAATATCTCTTTTCAACATCTTATTGAATCTCATAAACCATCTAGGCTGGAGGCCATTTATTTTCTCACCTGTTCTCCACCTCTATGACCTCGTCCTCAATGTCAAAATCATTTACAACATCGTCGTTGTCTGGGGGAGGAGCTAAAACATCTTCCTTTAAAATAAACAAATATATATGTGTTAATAGTTGCTATACAAGCCAGTGATAAGAAATCTACCAACATAAATTACAAGAACCAAAAAATTTATAATCGTGCACTTTTAATCAACTTTTAAAATAATACAGCTCCTTTTAGTGATAAAAGAATATCTCCTCCATCCCTTACTATAATATGCAGAAAACTTAAATGAACTATTTTAATATGTGAGTGAAGATTTTAAATTAATAATGGATTTTCTAAATTCCAAACAGGGTCATAAAATGCTGTTAAATATTGATGCGCTTCTACTAAATGTCCCTCAACAGTCTGCAGAGGAAACACACAAACTTTCATCCATCATCAAGCTTCCTGTATAATTCAGATTGTATAACTGATCACTATTTTTGAGAACAAAATAATGGAGTTTATTTTAAATCAGGTGTTCTGATTTCTATAATAGTTTATATATCCTTAATACGACTGAAGTGGATGTAGTACCAGAAGCTTTGTGGTAGCCAGCTTTAGCCATTCCGCCTGGTATCAACATGATTAAGGTCAAGATCTTCATTAATTAAGCCATATAGTGTGGTGCACCAATTTCAATAAAAGCTGGGCGTACACTAAGGGTGCGCAAACTAATCGTCATGACGATGCATCGTGATTCTAAGTTTTGTGATCTACTGCATCAATTCTTGAAGGCAAGAATCGATTATTAAAAGAAAACAAAATGAACAAATAAAATACATGAATGGTTGGCGCACATCAGCCAAACCAAGTGGAATACAACTTCCAGTCCAGCAGATGTCGCTGCGGATGTGTTGATGCCCGCTACCTTGTGTCACTAGCATTTCCGGCCGTGGGATACTGATGATTTTATGAAATAAAACATGGAGGACACTATGAAAATTCGCCCCACGGCTCCAACACATTTCAAGTCAGATGCTTGGATGCATTTTGGCTTTAAAAACAAAGAAGGTAAGAATGAAATTGATATGATGCACGTCATTTGCAAAAGGGAAAATGTCATACATTTGAATGTCTTCATTTCATTGGTTTAAAGGACCACTGAGGCCATATAAACGGCACTGATTGGCCTTATTTTGTTATTTTAAGTTTGATGAATCCTAAGATCTTTTTGTCAGTGTGTCCACGCCAGTAATAGTAATATTTGTGTCCTGTATTTCTTTTCATGGCAAAACCTCCAAAAGTCATTTCAATAAATACAGTTATGTATGAATTCAGTTGCTTTCAGTTATGTATCAGTTGTAGACACGATCCAGATCATACCCAGCTAGTCAGCCACTGGTAAGGGCTGTATCTTTTTCTTACAGTGTTCGGTGAAAATAACGCGATGCATCGCAATATTTCAAGTATCGTGATGCATTGTGATAGAATCGCATCGTGGCATGTGAATCGTGATTCGAATTGAATCATGACTTCTTTGCCAATACCCACCCCTAGCGTACACTGTGCAATTTTCCAGTCGTGTTAGAATCTTTCCATAGGGCGACTTTGAGCTTGATCATGCGCTGTGCAATGTACAGGGGGTAACGAGGGGCGATCAGCCTCTTACGACCACCTAGTCAAACATGTTTGATTTTCTCCCGACCGTCCTGGGCAAATCGCTCAGTGCGCAAACAATGAATCTTCTTCTTCCTCTCAGATGAAAACACAGCATGGCGGGGATGCAATGGGTGAAATAGAGTTCTGTCTGTAAAATTGACAGACCGTAGTAGCCACGTTTGCTCAGCCATGTCTTTGTCCAAATACATCGTTGCCTTTTCTTTTTAGGGCTTTCAGCACAAATTGCCAAAACAGCGCGTTTAACTCTAGTGAGCTTAATATTCCTCTTCTATTTGTTTGGCTTCCGGATAGATGAGTCCAACGATGAGTCCGACGTGCTTTTTAATCGTACATTGTGAGCAGGTAGATCGCATGAGAGCGTCGTGCTGCACATACATCATGAGCTCTGAACTCACACTGGAAAAAACGATCTAGTAAATAAGTAAAGAATTCTTAGATTAAGTGTATTTACCCTTAATTTCAGTAGGTAAATAAGATGGAATGAGTATTTTTACTCTTAAAATAAGATAACTAGATAATATGCACCTGAAATAAGACAATGCAATTGTGTTTTCTTATTTTAAGCCTAAATTGTCTTGTTCCATTGGCAAAACGTCTCTTTTACCTCCTCAATCCAAGAACAAATGCACTCATTTTAAGAAAAAATGACTTGTCTAGATTTCAATTTTTTCCAGTACGACTAAACCCTGCAGTTTACACTGGAAAAACGATATAGAAATAAGTTAAAATTTCTTAAATTAAGTGTATTTACCCTTAATTTGAGTAGGTAAATGAGGTAGCTTGCCAATGGATTGAGTATTTTTACTCTTAAAATAAGATAATTAGATAACTTGCACTTGAAATAAGACAATGCAATTGTGTTTTCTTATTTTAAATCTACATTGTCTTGATCCATTGGCAAAAATATCTTTTAGCTTCTTAATTCAAGAACAAATGCTCTTATTTTAAGAAATAATGACTTATCTAGATTTATTCCAGTTTAGTTCTACAGTGTGAGAAGTAGCTGTGTGCAACGATTGTAAAAAAAAAAAAAAAAAATGTAAAAAAAAAAATGTAAAAAAAAAAATCACACAGTGTACTTAAGCCATCTAGATCCCACATGTGGAGCTGCCACTACCATACTTGACTAGGTGGACAGTTAGTGTATGTAACATAGTAATAGCCATCTTTACAATATTCATAGTACATATTCACCTGCAAACTCTGTTAAAATAACAAGCATCTATATATTATGCTATTGTACATATCTGTAAAAACCCTATTTATAGTAATATCTAACCGTATATTATATTCGGTACATATCCAGCTATAAATTTAGTTCATAACACTAGTTTGCTATATATTATATTCATAGGACAAATCTATTTTTAAAATTCTGTTCATAATGGTATTGATCTAGAAACTGAAGATATGTATACATGTTTAAGCTAAAAGAAGTAAAGAGCTAAGTTAAAGCTGCAGCAAGACTTATTGTTCATATTGAAGAAGTATATGCCATTTATAATCTAAGGATGGGCAGCAAATTTACTATTCCCAGGTGTTAGGCCAAAGCTCGCAGAGGGGAGGATGAAATCTGTAGATAAGAGGGTAGAATGACCTTGCTCGCACACACACGCAGAAAAAGCTGATTAACAAGGTAGAAGAAGAAGGGCAGGAAGCAACTCCATACATGGAGATAGGAAAGTAGGGAGTATGATGATTATGTGGGACTGTCTGTGAAACTGTAAGATGTTACCCTATGAAGATAATAAAAAGAGCCGGTGTTGCAGGTGCATGCTGCTGATGCTCCTCTCCCTTTGCAAAGGCGAACCGTAGCTTCCATGTCCAGAATTTTTTTATAGCACTCCATCTCAGTTAAGTTACCTGCACTCGAATTGATGGTGATTTCAACAAAACCCGTGTCTTGTATTTATGGAACCATTATTTATCCTGCACTTGCTGCTATTGCACTTCTGGTTAGACCTAAACTACATTTCGTTGCCTTGTACATGTGTAATGACAATAAAGTTGAATCTAATCTTAATCTAATCCTAATGCATGCCATTGCTGTTTGATCACCCTTCCACTTACCAGGCTTTCTTCTCTGGTACCCATCATCATAATTTTAGTGTTAGGCTTTAGCTTTAAAGAACCCAGCTTGACTTCATCCTCTGCAGGTTTACCTGAAAGCAGAGAAAACAGGATGAGACTTAGAACTCAGCAATGGAAGAACAGGTTATAATGATGCCATGATCTCACCTTTGATCTTTAATCCTAAAAGTTTCTGTCTCTCTGGCAACACTCCAGTTAAGCTCTTGATGGACTGCTTCAGGTCCAACACAGTGTCCTCCTCAGAAAGAGAGCTGATGGAGTACTCCTGTCCTCCCCACTTGATGATCACTGACACAGACATGGCTCCTCAGATACAGGCACGATGCCGCAGCGCAGCCACAGACCTTTGTTCAACCCTGCAGCAACGCTAACTGACATCCACACCTTGGAAAGAAAAGGATAGTGAAACAGGAGAGCAGTTCAATGAGCCAGAGACAGACAAAAAAAACTAAATCTAAAGATTAGCACAGAAAAACCCAACAGCATATATAATAATCTGGATATTTAAAGACAAATCGCCAAACTGCTCCCAATGAGTAAGGACACTTAGATTATTTTTAGCATGCGGTGGCTAACAGTGACTAGCAGCGATGTAAACACAGCATGTAAGCATCAACTAACGGAACTATATAAGCTGGTTGCTTTTGAAGCTAGCAGCATGCTAACCTGCAATATCTGAATATGAGTCCAGAGTTTGGAAAGAAACGAAAATGAATGAAGTTAGTGGTTCGGCTTCATTCATCGGTAGAGGGGCATCGTGCTCTTCCCCGGCGACCCCCAGTATTTCCGGTGTCGTAATGTGACGTAAAAGGAAGACTGTCACCATAGTGACCACTCGTTAACACATTAATTGGCTTTAAACTAATGGTGTTATCCTCAGTACGGTTTAAAAACGCTTGTTTCTAATGAACGTAGAAACATTTACTTGACTAAAAGGCAAACATCCTATTATTTGCACATCTCTGATGTTGCTGCTAACAGTTCAATTCACTTTATTTCTAGAGTGCCAATTCACAACACATGTCATGTTAAGACACTTTACAGTTCACCAGATCATACAGTCAAATTAATTAAAAATGTTCTAAGGAAAACCAGTCGATTGCATCAACTCATTGACTCGAATGCAATCCCTCACACTAAGCATGCTTGTAGCGACAGTGGAGAGGAAAAACTCCTTTTTAACAGGAAGAAACCTCCAGCAGAACCAGGCTCAGTGTGAGCGGCCATCTGCCGAGGCCTACTGGGGTTAAAGGTGACGGAAGCAGAGATACAAAAACAACTGTAAAAGGCGGCCCCGTCCAGGAAACACACAGCCAGGCAGATGAGCTCCGAGCCAGAGGACGAAGAGAGCACATCCAGCCAGTCACAGTCAGAGAAACAGGACTAAACTGAAAAACAGGCAGATCTCAAATATCTATAAACAAAGGTGTTGATGACAGCAGCACAGCTGATATTTCTCTCCAGGATGGAGTCACAGCCAAACAGGAACAGACCAGATGAAGCTACTATGAGAAAAAGCAGAGAGAGCAGAACGTTAGAGATAGAACTAACAGATTCTGCAGAGTGGGAGAATAGAGATATAATGACGTAGAATGATGAAATAGGGGTCCCTATGGCCTCCTGAAGCCTAAGCCTATTTTTAAATATCCATTGCTGTAAAAATGTCCATAGCTGTATATTGGTTATTTATTCTCCAGATGCACTGATTTATATTTTATAAACACTTCACAGTACTCTATTTTATTGTTTATCTTTTAACTCCTCACTAGTATGTTATTCTTATATGTTTTTCTAAAGTCCACATTTGTGTGACCATTTTTTCTATAACCTTTTTGATGCTGTAAACACCAGCATTTCCCCATTGACAATAAAGGGGTTTTCTATTTTATTCTATTCTATTCTATTCTATTAAATCTAGTGTAAACTAGGGGTGTAAATCACACCCATCCTGGCGATTCAATTCAGTATCAATTTCCTGACCCAACGATTCAAGTATTATTAATACTCAACAATACACCACAATAGGATTTAGGTAATTAATTTTTTTTTTTTTTTTTTTTACCTTACAGGCTAGACAGTGTTTCAAATTATAAATAAATCAATGCAAGCTGTAATATCGTTGTGCATTTTATTTGAGAAACAACAGCAAATAACAGAAATTAGCAAAGTTGTACTCCACCTAGGGCTATGAAAACCACATTCGCTGAAAAATAATAAGTCTCTGCATCAAAAAATACTGCAAGCGGAAAGAGGGTAGTGGCTAAAAAAGCGAGGTATGAGGGCAAAATAGGTTTAGCGCCACCACAGCACGGGAGTCAGAAATACGTCCAGGAGCAAATAGATAAAAATAGAACAGAGGAAAAAAAACAAAACATGAATCGATAAAAAAAGGTTATTATTTACACCTCTAGTGTAAACCATACTGTAAAAGAACGCAAACAGACAAAAGACACAGACAGTCAACTAAATAGGCTAGGTCACATGGTGGTCTCGAGCCTGGTGAGATGTTTTCAATTTTAGAACACGGATTACCTGCTGTGTTGTTTAACCAAGAATTGATTTTTATAGCTCAAAATAATGAACAGAAATGACCGTTGATAAGATCATGAGCTCAAATGCAGCACAGTTATGCAACCAGACAATGATCAAAGGCAAACATTTGAATGACAAAAGTGGTTTGAATAGACCCATCCAAGGATTACTTTTTCTACCATTACATTGAAGTCTTCAAGTGAAAAGCACTGAGATTATGTAAGAAGTTTGGTAGTCTGTTACACTAGGTACTTGAGTCATTTTGGGGGAAATGTACCCCTAAGAATAGCTTTAATGCACCGTAATCTTTATTTCTGCTTGATCAACATTTGAATGATTCCCATTACTAAAAAAAGAACAAAAGATTTTATACAATATACACCAAGATTATTGTTTGTAAACAAGCTTCATTATTATTATATTACTTGCATATGCAAAGCCCTCTTGTGCAACCTGGTCAGGTTGAGGTTTATGTACATAAAAAAAGGCAACCCTGTTTTTAAATATAGTCTTAAACTACCGGCATTATATTAAACCTGAATCAGGTGTTAGATTACAAAGACAATTATTCATGGTGGCACCTCCTTAGGGCCTGGCCCTCTGGGGCCCGGCTGGGGCTTCCGCCGGGGGGGGTGGGGCACCCCTGGTGCCTTGGTTCCCTGGGGCTCATGGCCGGATCCACTTTGGGGTGGCTGGCTGCCGGTGTAGCCCGTGGACTTGCCGCACACGGCTCCTGGGGGCTCCGGCATTGTGGTGGCTGGGGGTTTCCTCGGGGCCATCTCTCCTCCTCGCTTGGTGGGGGTCTAACTTCCTGGGTTGACCCCTCCAGGGCGCCTTTGTTCTTGGGGTCCCTTTAGGCGTCTGGGGCTTTGGGTCCCCCGGCGCTCGCCTCGGTGCTCTAGGGGGGCGCGTCTTTGGCCCTTCACAACCACTATTGAGCAGTTTTCCTTTGGATAAATTTTACATGGTTTACATTCAAGTGCACTCTCACAAACAACTACAGGTGCTTGGCTTAAGGTACTTAGAGATTCACTTCCATACAGAAAGCCCATATTCTTATCTTCAGCTACCACAGTGTACATGTCAGATTAAATAATACTACTTATACTTCAGTATAGTATCAAGGTGTTACTTTATTGTATCTCTACTACATCCGTTGGTTGTGCTGTTCTTTTTACATCTCTTTGCCGGTGATGAAGCACACTGAAGATGTTTTATTATTATCTCCCCTTTTACCTCCTCTTTCTTTCATCTTTTCTCCTTTTTTTTCTTATTTTCCCTTACCTGTTCTACTTACACTACAGTATCCATATAATCTGTAATACTCCCTGCATGAATTATAATAAAGCTATTTATATGCATAAATCAAGTGGAACACTATGGCGATAGCGGTACTGCTCCAGTTGTGAAAGTAAAATCTGTTGGGCCCTTTTTGGCATCAAGACAATTGTTCTTATTGCCACATTGTCAGACCGGACACTGTTAAAAAGAAATGAATTAAAAAGATAAATATTTGGCTCCTTAATAACCTTTTATATATGTTTTCTTTTATGTGAATATTTAGTTTTATTTTCTGATCGCTACTTTTTTTTTTTACTTTTAAAGACATAGGATGAAGAGGTGATTCAGGGTACAAGTTAGAGGCATCAACCAGGTCTAGTAATTAATTAATATTTTTATTTAATTCCAAATCAAAGCTTGAAAAGTTTCACTTCCTGTTTTATTTCACTCACGACATTACATTCTTTAAGAGTAACAATGCGAACAGCTTCTAAAATAATTTAACAATTCAACCCCCCAGTAATGTCAGAGACCCATCCCAACAGATTAATGTGGGCAGGCTGTGCTGCGCATGCGCAGTGCGTCTCCCAGCCAGCATTCTAGTAATGGCTGCCAGGAAAGATGAACGGATCGGCCGCGTCTTCTCGCTGTGAAGCGCACCCATCTGGAGGACCGTTATCTCGGGTGGAGCTGAATTAAAATGATTCCGGGTGCCAATAGGGCACCCGGAATCCGTTTACCATTGTTCTGAACCTCGTCTTAAAAACGTAAGTTTTATTTTTCTGTTCTTAAACGTTGACTTAGCGCTGCAGCTATAGAAGCACAGAGCCTCTGCCTGTCGGCCGCTTTAAAACTGCGCTTCAATTACACTGTCTGACGAGAGCTTCGTCTACTTCTTAAACGGTTTAATGTTTAAGCATACACTTGTGTATTTGTAGGTAGGAAATGGCGTATTTGGAGGTTTCTGTGTACAGTTTTGTGAACGGGTTTGTGTGTTGTTATTTTGGCTAGCTCAGTAGGTCTGCGCTGCGCCTCCGTGTCTGTTTCGGTGCAGCTCATCACTTCCACAAAGCACGAATATCACCGCTGCTCTCTTTATCGCTCAGGAAGGAAGCCATTGGCTACTTCCATGCTAAAATCGCCAACCTTCCTTTTTCTGTCGCTTTTCCACTTAGCATCGCTGCACAGGTACAGATCTTGTTAGCAGGGTTGCGTTTTTTCTCTCACGGCTGAAAGGTTTGTTTCTGTCCAGCCGGAGGGGTTACTATAGTTCATGCACGTACGGCTGTCATCCGCAACACGTAAACTACATCTAGAAAATACTAACTAAGTTTTTTTTTCTTTAAGTAAAGAGGATTTCAAGTTATGGCTTACATTGTAAAAGTTTTTTTTCATTCATTTCGATGTTGTTTATTTTGCAATATATCAAAATATACTATATGGTTTATAGAACTTGTGTATTTGCTGTTAGTATTGTGGTTCAAAAGTTTAGTTTCAAATAGAGACTTGCTGTTTAATATGACGATTTTATTGGGTCAAAAGTCTGGAAAGTTGCTCAAAGCTGCACTTAGCCACTAGTTGGCGCAAGACTTGTAACTTCTACATTAAAGTCGGAGGGAAATCATATTTAAATGAGCAACTTAAATAGCAACTTTTTCGTCTGTAAATATGTTAAATCCAGAACTCTTCAAGTGGAAAAGTTTTAGTTTTACTTGGTTTTATTTAGTAAAAAAAATCTTCTTTAAAGTCGTAGGGAAATCATATTTAAATGTCAAATCATTCTGGCTTAAACGTGTATATAAATGTAGTCTTTTTCAGACGATATTGTCCCGAAATTTATATTTTTTTAAAATTCCTGTGTTAAATTCGTGTTAGTTATACTTCAGCTTGTACACCTAAATTTGGCCAATCATATATCAACGGTCATCTGTCGATCAAATTTTTTCGGTCATAGCATTTTGATTCATATGTCGTAGCAAAT